AAAAAAAAAAAAAAAAAAAAAAACTTCAGGAAATAAACAAATTATTATTTTCCATCAGTAATATGATTCTTTCTTCTGCAAACTCTATTTGTTAAAATGCAGGTAATAAATTCTTATGTAAATCAGCTTGCACAAAATCTAGCTCACTTAGTATGATCGCTTAGTTTCGGACCATGGAAAAATTGACTCTTGTACTGCTTGACGCTTGTGCCGTCAGGCAATAAAAAATGTCCGTTATATTGACCGCTTTATCAACTAAAACTTTTTTTAAAAATGATTTGCATTTTGATTGTTTTTGTATAATCGTCACAGCAAATTTAAGGGATATATTTAGGTTTCAAAAATCGAAGAAGAAATTTCTTTAGCAAACTGCACTTTGCAATTTTATGTTTAACGTTCTGTCAAAAAATACCTGCAAAATCGCTTTTTTCCTTAGTTGATTTGGTATTAATTTATTCAGAATATTAATATGCACTGCTTTGTAAATGTAGAATCCTTTTTGTTAAGAATCCCTGACTCTCAGGAATCATTGTATGCTATTATGTCTTCAGGTATTAATTTGAAGTGTATTTATGATAATTTAGACGCTCACTAAATGATCCTGTTGGGTATATGCATGCATATATATATATATATATATATATATATATATATATATATATATATATATATATATATATATATATATATATATATATGCTTTCTATCTTAATATTTCTTCACTTAGGGCAGTTATGTTAGTTTGAAAGTTGTTGTAAAATGTGTTTTTTATAAAAATTAATCCATTGCAATGTGTATCGATAACAATCCTCTAATAAAACTAATGTCCAAATAAATGTATCTTCATTCCATTTTCAATGAATGTGTAGTGTAGGACAGCGCCGCCAGAGTTCCATCGGCATCGAAAGCAAGTTTTTTGACTTGCCTAGATGACCGAGCGGTGTCGAGCGCTATTCCTGTACTGCTAGGAGACAGATTCCGAGAGCTCAACCTTTGAATGGCGCGGAAGTGGGTATCCTTATAAAATTTCTTTGTGCTTTCTATATTAATATTTCTTACTTTGGGCAGTTATGTTAGTTTAAGAGTTATGTAAAAAGTGAATTTTTTGTGCTTTGCTCTCTCTCTCTCTCTCTATTTATGTATATCTATATTTATATATATTTATATATAACAATTGATAGAAGAAACAAAGATTTCAAAATCATAAGCAAAATTAAATGACATTGGGTTGTGCAAATGATGTATGTGCCATAAGTTTAAGTAAAATGAAAATATTTTAATCTAGGGAAATAAATTAATAAAATCCTAAACACACTTAATTTTAAAAATATACACAATTTAATACACAAGAAATATTTATTCTTACCTCTAATAAAAACCAAGATCTTTCCCTACTTTCGTTTCTGTTAGTTTACGAATTATGTAATACCCATTAAATGGCTCTATAAACTGCGTTTCAATATAACTATCGAATTTCCAGGTCAAGGATTTTTCGGATCGATTTGCACGTTGGTACAACTGTAATTGTTAACAGACTATCGACCTAATTTGACTGTTCGTTACCTTCATATTTCAATCTTTTTTGACTGTTTGTGTTTCTACATGTTCGACATGGTTTGCGATTTTTGCCAGTAACTTTAAAAAAGACAAAATATGGGAAACAAAGGTACAAGTCTCTTACAACTTTAGAAGAAAATAATGAAAAAAGCGAAGTTATTGAACAGTGAGTAATCTAAAAAATAGTTCACAAACAAAACAAATCTGTGAAAAGGGCATAAAACACACAGACCTGGAATTTCCATAAGGCCAGAGATTGGATCAGGTGCCTAGGAGGAATAAGCTTCCCATGTCAACGGTCACATTTGCCGTAAGCTTTAAGTATTGATTAGATAGACGGAATATTCCGTTGTCAAATTGTGTATTAGAACGAAGGTCTAGCACGCAATTTAATTTTCTTTAGATCTATTGGAGGCAATTGCCACAAATGATCATTAGTAACGAGAACACAAGAAAGGATAAAAATAATTTTTAAAGGTGAACCCTGGAACCAGATGCTAACTTAGAAAGATTATATATTGGATTGGGCATATCACAACTGTAGGAAGCCACAGCTTTGATAGGTGGCGGAAGATACCCTATCTTTGACACTTTTTGTATACACAAGTTGCCAAATTAATTATCTTGTCTTATAACTTGAGGTTTATTTAAGTCGGAATACTTTGTTTTATGACTTTTATATTACTTTTTTTAGGGTTGTGGTGATTTTTTTTGGGAATGTTTAACGAGTCACAACACCCTCTATCGAAAGACAGTATTCTGCTTTTAGTTTGCTGTATTTTTAACTGTTTTATCTGTTTTATTTGTTGTTGTTTTTTTTTAAATACTACTTTGTCATCTTTTATATGGTAAATAAATGATCATTTCAATTCCATTTTAATGTGCTGTATTGTGTCAAACTGATCAGTTATCCCTTAATATATATTTATGAACATAAGACATCTTTGAATACTGAACTCATAATTACTGCCATTGTCTATAAATACAACATTTTTGCAACTTCATAGAGTCACTCGCCATTTTTCATTCGATGTTAGCAAACATGTGTGGAAGTTTTTAACACTACCCATACCAACCTCCTTTTAAGGGTTATATTAGTTACAATACAATGTTATGAGTTTATGTACAGCATTTTGTAGGATTGTGGAATTTTTAATAGGTTGACTAGTTCCAGTTCCCTCCAGTGTATTGTGTTCTTAGTGTGCTGGAAGATACCCCATCCTTTTATATCCTTGTATATACAAGTTGTCAAATTATTTTGTTTATAACATTTTTCTACTTTATTCTAGTTGCAATGACTTTTTATAATCTTTTTTAGGTTTGAGGCATTTTTGGGAATGTTTACAACTCCCTCCTTTAAATTATGATACGTGCTTTTAGTTTGTTGTATTTTTAAATGTTTTATATGTGTTTTTTTGTTTGTTTGTTTCTTTGTTTGTTTTGTTTTGTTTTTGTTTTTTTGTTTAGTTTAGTTTAGTTTAGTTTAGTTTTTTTTTTTTTTTTTTTTTTTTTTTTTTTTTTTGCAAAATTCTATATCATTAATGAGATAAATAAATAACCATTCCAATTCCTTAACATTTTGCTGTGTTGTATTGTGTCAAATTGAGCACCACTCTATCAGTTACCCATAAAAATCAATATAATGTTCATTTAGACTTTGTTATATAAATTTATTGAATTTAAAGTCCAGGAGAGCACTACTGGTAGGCTGAAATTCCGCTCCATCAAGGAAAAAAGCGGAGAGAGTTTGGCTTTTTGATAGGATTTCAACCCTTTTAGCTTTCAAAATTCACCTAGGGTTGCCATTTTTTCATCAAATATAGACAGCAACTCAATTTTGAACTGACATAATTTGTCGAGTGGAATCTTAATGGTTATATGCATGTTGTTAATTTTTAATATGAGAAATGTCAAAAAGATGAAGGATTTATTGTTCTTCCTGTGTCAAGGGACAGCCAGATGTGGGCAAATTGTACATAAAAAATGATATGTGTTTAACACAGTCTTGGGTGTCTGATCTTCCTATCAACATAAAATCATCTAAATGTATAGATCTTTGCTACATTCTGACTTTTCCCAAAGGCCCACTCACAACGTACTGCACTGTCAAATGTGTAAACCTTTACTTGAATTTTAAAATCCAAAAACGTAATGCACTTATATGAGGGTTCTTCGGAAAGTTCTCGGACTTAACATTTTTATTTTAACGTCATATTATACCAAAATTTGATAGAAATGTTTTAACAATAAATTCGAAAGACGTGTATTATTTTTTGTATTAAATATTGTTTTTTATTTCAAAATTATTCAGAATTGAAAATCGGATTGCGGAGCAGGGTAAAAATTAAGTTATTCACAAACAGGACACTAAATAATGTTTGCAGTCCCTATGTAAATTGGTGAAAATAAATTTTAGAATTCAAATTAAGAATTTTTATATCGTTTCATATTCAAAATTATGACTTATTACTAGTATTCTGCTTCTTCGAAAAAATACAAATTTCAGAAGTCCAAAAGGAGGACGTTATAGAAGGTCAGGAGCAGCAGCTAGCTATATATAGTGTACGATGCAATATTGTGTTGTACTCGAGAAAACTCAAGAAAAAAAACTCTGAAAATGCTGAAGTTATATATAGGAAGCGGAATATGAATGATAGACACTCTGTATCAGACGAGGACGATCTACCAGGAAATGGATTATCTGTAAAACTCCGATCAAAAGCTTTAAAAGTTAGTAAGGCTTTGAAAAGAGATGGACACTTCATAGTAACTGTTGCTAATCTTGTGAAAGTAGTTACACGGTAAAAGATATTAAAACATTGACATACAAATTTATGCCACTGGAAGAATTGTTAGCAAAATAAATTTCGAGTGATGGAGAAACGTTTATAATGAGTTGGTATTGAGTCATACTGTGTGAAATTTATAGGAATAATATTTTTGAAAAGGTCATGAAGATATTTTTTTTATGTTACAATGTTTAAGTGTGCTCCGTAATTACAAATTAAAGCATGCTCACTTAAAATTAAGTAAAATAGTTTCCAATAAATCATGTGGGATGAAAATTCGCATATCAACAATATAAAATAATTTTACATATGATTATGTGTTCATTGTAAATTTCTTTAATGTAGTATAAGGAGTATTAACATAGTCCGCGATTTTTCCAAACAACCCTCGTAATATCGATACGTGCCACAAAGGCTTCTCTTCCAAACTTAGCCAAAATTTCAAAAACAACGTTCAAGGAAATGTAATTCACTGTGAATGAAATATATGGAGATAACGAACAGTATTCAAGCTCAAAAGTCCATTAAACATTACAAAATAGGCGCAGAGCAAACACTGACCTCCAAAACATCAGAGGTGGGATCAGGTGCCATGGAGGAGTGAGCATCCTCTGCCGACCGGTCACACCCGTGAAATAATCTTGAACAATGAAGTGATTTACACATAAGTTTCAATTATAATATGATACAAAACTGTTTTCTTTCAATTTTGTTTCGCATCAATCCATTCTACAGTACTTTTCTCATTTTTTTCCTGCTAAGACAGGAAGCAATGTACAGTCATCACAATAACTTGTAGAATTACCACAATCTGAAAAAAAAAACAATGAATCGAAATATAATTTAACTTACATATCTCTAACATTGTAACCTGAAAGTACTATATACAGCTAACAAATCTTTTAATGTATGTCTTAGAGAAAAAACATTAATATAAATTATAGATGAGATTGTAATTAAAAAATATATTTACCGCCATTAGTGCCAAGACGAAGGACAAATTAATTATCGCATCAATCTGATATTCCTGAATAGAAGTATTGTCACTTAGTTTTTTCACACGACTAAAACAGCTCTGTAAAAAAAGAGAGAAAAAGCTTAAGGAATGATCAAAAATAAAAACAAAGGGTGTACTTTTCCTTGCAACGGTACTTATATTCAAATATTAAACTTTCATTTTTTTTATGATATGAATGTTTTAGAAGATATTTCTTTGTAACAATATTTCTCTTGATGTTTTAGCAATCCATAGGGTTCAAATATCCATGAAATGTATTTTAACTTTTCTTATCCTGATTATAAGGTTGAAATATGCATTATATATATATATATATATATATATATATATATATATATATATATATATATATATATATATATATATATATATATATATATATATATATATATATATATATATAGTTTGATATTAATTAAGAATGTATAAATATTTGTTTTACTAGAAAGTATCATGCTCAATGTTTGTAGATGAACTGAATACTTTTTTATCAGGAACATTTCAAGATAAACCACTACACGTAAACGTTAGACTACATGTTCATATTAATATTATTATTTTGTATTATTTTATGATAAAAAATCTTGTGAATTTTTCTTCTAATTTTAGGCTAAAAATAATATGCTATATTCACATCTTTATACGATCCAAAGTTAACATTCGCATGACAACTTTTAGTTGCATTAACGTAGTCATATTCAGTGACATCTTTACAACAGGTTTTCGGAATCTGAGAATTCGTCTCTTGACAGGATCCAGATGTTGTACACCAGGGGGTCGTGTCAAAGTCATTAGTTGTGCCTAGTACTTGATTTACAGCACAACAGTCGTACTGGATTTGGGAAAAAGAAAATATCTCGTGTTAATGTAATTTAATCAACTAATTTCCTGGAAACTTATTTCCTGGAAACGGTATAGTTTTAAAACGCGAGGTGTGATCAAAAGGTTTGCGAACTATCTCTATATAAAATTTACAAAACCACAATTCAGATCAGAATGAAATTTGCCACACATATAGTCATACACATGCTCTATAAAAAACAGATGTTAAATAATGTTTTGCTCCGTGTTTGTGACGTCACAGTGTGAAAATTACTTCAATATGTAGGTTACTTGTGACAAAAAATGGTTGACTCAGTCATACTCGAGCAACGAACGGCTATAAAGTTTAACGTATATCTTGGAAATTCCTTTGCAGTAGAATATGATAATTTGTACAAGGTTTCTGAAGACAAAAGACTTACCAGAAGTTCAATCATTAATTGGATTGATTGTTTAAGTTAAGGCAGGGAGATGGTTAAAAATGATATTTGTTCTGTCACCCAGCGAAAACACGCGGGGAAAAGATGTGTTCTTAGTTGAGCAATTTGTTATGAAACATCGTCAAGTTACAATCCGAAAAATGGTTGAATATCTTAAAAATAATATAGTTATTAAATCCCTGAAATATCGTTTACTTTAGACTTTAAACATAAGAGATATGATAAAAAAAAAGAAGAAGGCGCCCTTACTTTATCCACATTGGATAAACGACACTCCCGAGACAGAGGACTGGGGTTGTGATGGGTCACCATACTAATTGTGGGAAGGGATATCCTTATCCACCCATCCTATTGCCGAGATTTGGCCATTTATGGCAGATGGACTGTTCTTGTTATAACAAATAACTTGCACGGTAAGAAATATGAGACTCGGAAAAATCTTTTAGCTTCTGTGAACAGACTGCTACGGAACATGTCACGTGATTGCCTGAATTAGGTATACGTGATTCGCGCATGCAGACGTGCATTAAAATCGGAGAGGACTACTTTAAAAAATAATTAACACTGAAACCTCATTTTATTTCTTTTAGGGAAGTAATTCAATTAGTTCGGAAACTTTTTGATCACCCTTCGTACTAACGATTTCTTATCTAAATACTAATTTTCAAACAGTTTGGCTGACTTTCTTCCGAAAAAGACTATATTGTCGAAAATAGAAGGTGTAAGATTGAAATATTTCTTGGATAATAATATACAACGACTTTAATTTAAAATTCAGACTTACCAACAGGAATTTTGCATATAAAGAAAATACCCTCTCCTTATTCAATCAAATAGATTGACGTGCTATCTTTTTGTTCTGGACAGAGATCATGTGTTTTAATTTTCCTGATTTCCATCTGATTATATGAATCTTTTTTCAATATAATTAAAAATTATGCCAAGAATGCTGTAAACAAATGTTAAAAATATTCGTTAATTTATTCCTCTTTATAGGATTGGCGGAGTGATTTATACCATTCGTCTTTAGAAAATTAACATTCATCATACCTATTCATCGAGATAAGGGACTACATGTCTATGTAAATAAAAATAAACATATGTTTGGGAACATATACTGCATTAAAATTTTCATTTTTTTTTTCATAATCTTATCTTAGGTTATATTTTCCATTTGAAGAACTTCGCCTGTGTAAAAATGTTATTTTAACTTTGGTTGTGTTCGACCTGAACCGTCAGAATAGGTAAATATTGTTCATTTGCAAAACTCTAGGCATAAGTTGTCTACGTGAAAGTCATACATATACTGTAGGACCTGAAGGACCGGTGTCCAGCATGTCGGCGATGTACATATTAAAAGAGGATGTTGATCAATTACCCTAATACATGTTCATCTGTGCTACATGAGTGCATGTTTTGCAATACCTTAATAAAAAACTTGTTCCATCTGTCTGAAACAGTACCACTGTTTGTGATTACATCAGAGGTAAAATTTTGTGTAAGCGAGTCTAGCATCATTTTCTTTAATGTGCCATAATCCTGTTAAGTAAAAGGAAAGAAAAAGGATCAGTATCTTAGCATTTATGGATGAGAGTATAAATTATACTCACCGCGTATAAAGAGCTATTAAATATATTCATCCACAACATATGACACGTTAGTAAATATAAATCATACCAAATGTTGTTGTGATGATTTGGAATCCATCATTTTCTTTGAAAATATCAACAGCGGGATAAATATTCCAAGGGACACCAGAGCAAACTGTAAAATACTAAAATCCTTTAACAAAAGCCTCTGAACAATAAAAATGAAATAAATATGCAGGGTTTGAATGATAAAGCATATTAATTCAGTAAGAGGAAAGTTAACGTATTCAAACTTACGATAACATATACGGCTATAAACCAAGTTCGTCTTTCAGTTTGGACGAAGGACAAGCACAAAACTAGAAGGAGCCAGATGCAAATAAAGGCAAAAGATATCCAACTTATTATTAACATGCTTTTGATATTTTCCTCAACGTCCTCATATTTACAGGATACGGTGAAATCGATTTTCAATGATTCTATTGCTTCTTTTATGGCACAAGGTTTGGTATTTTTTGGTATTCTACTGCATGACACTAAAATTATCGAAGCAACCTAATAAAAAATAGATTTTTTTTCAAATATTTTCCCGCTTATTGTCACTGACAACAGGTAAGAATAAGAAAGAAAAGAACCGAATTGTAGTCATATCCTTTCGACGTCCAAGCACTTCTAGAGCTGCAACGATATAAAACTATATAACATTTAAGATTCATATAGCCATGCAAGGGGGATTTCCTGGAGGACAACTGCAATGTAATAAAATGGATATAAAAACTCTCTTTTATAGCGACAGCGTAAAAAAAGTATTTTTTATTTCTATTAAAGAAATGAATTTAGCCTAATAGCTACCCAGGTTATACTGTAAAACCTAATTCGGGGTGGTTCACGCTTTAAACCTCGAAGCGGTTTATAAAAAAGCGTAAATTGCTCCAACCCAGTATAACTTGTGTAGTGTAATGTAAATGATGTTACCAAGTTTGAATTTGGCGTCCTTAGTTGGCAAGTTACGTTGGCTTCCGCTCTGAGGGTATATAAGCGTCATACCGCTAGCCTCAGCACATTCAGTGTTAGTTTGGCCTCAGAAGAGGAAGGTTGTATACAGAGCTTTATAGGTAAACCCACAGTTTCCCATAAGAGAACGTGGATCAAGTATCCTTACTCTCGCAGGGACAGCTCGACTAGTCCTCAGTGGACATAGTGTATTTTAATTAATGTTTATAAATAAAAGTGCTGAGTAGCTGAGTACTCATTTGTTGAGAACTCATTTCATAACGTCTTGGAAGACAGGTTTTACTCATCTGTTAAGTAACATTGTAAGTCATATAATTTTGTATATAGGTTTGTAAATCTTAGTTAATATTTTTGATAGTGATTTTATTAGTGATGAGTTAGTTAAGTAATTAAGGGTAATCATTTTTATTTTACACGAGAGGAACTCGTTTCGCCTTATTTGTATGTTTTGCAGGCGATTATTTTTGTACATACCTTCGCCGTTTCTGTATATTTTGGCAGGCGATCTATTCAATATTTTAAGTTTGTATTATTTTTGAGTCTCGGTCTCAGTTTAGTAACTGAGGGATCCATACATCAGAAGAGAACACGTTACAGTAGCTATTAAATTCATTCCTCATAATTTAATTTTCAATCATTAAGTGTAGAAAATGAGACGATTTATCCTTTCAATATACCTTCAAATTATACATATTTTAAATGTAATCTCAAGATTGATACGTTTTCAACGTTGGTCATTGTGACGTAGACAATACAGGTTATACGAAAGCAACTAAGTTTGTTTATCCAATGAAAGGACGCATACAACCTATATATATATATATATATATATATATATATATATATATATATATATATATATATATATATATATATATATATAAAATTCAAAAGTACTTCAAAGATGATGTCAAACAATAAAAATAATCATAAAAGAAAAAGGAAATGCACAGTTTCCAAATTTCATTTATTATAAGCGCTCTCTGCATTTCATAATCCGTCTTCAGGTGTACATAACTTTTGAACTGTTTTGTTTTGCTTTGTTACACAAGGCAAAACAAAACAGTTCAAATGTAATATACACCTGAAGACGGATTATGAAATCCAGGAAGCGCGAAGCGCTTGTGTTGAATGAAATTTGGAAACTGCATTTTTAGGTCACCTGAGTCACTCAGGTGACCTATTGCTATCCGTTCTCGTCCGTCGGCGTGCGTCGTGCGTTAACATTGGAACATTTTTAGCTTCTCCTCTGAAACCGCTTAACCAATTTCAACCAAATTTGGCATATAGCATCTATTGGTGAAGGGGAACAAAAATTGTGAATTTCATGGTCCCTGCCCCCCTGGGGCCTGAGGGGTGAAGCTAAAACCACCAAAAATAATGCAATCTTTAAAAATCTTCTTCTTTACTCCTGGACATCAAGCAGTCAAACTGTTGGCATCATTGTAATAAGCATTGAGCCTTCTACCAAAATTATGAAATTCATGGCCCCAGGGTCAGGGGTTCTGGCCCCAGGGTGGGGCTATATAGATAATATAGTGAAAGTGCATTATTTCTTTGAAAATCTTCTTCTCTGCTCCTGGGTATTAAATAAAGTAACTAAGTACATAGTTATGAAGAGCAAGAGTGCCTCTTCCAAAATTGTGAAATTCATGGCCCCAGGGTCAGGGGTTCTGGTGTTAGGGTGGGGCTCTATTGATTATATAGTGAAAATGCAGTAATTCTTTGAAAATCTTTTTCTCTGCTCCTGGGTATTATTTAAACAAACTAAATGCATGGTTATGATGCATAAGGATGCCTTTTCAAAAATTGTGAATTTCATGGCCCCAGGGTCAGGGGTTCTGGTGTTAGGGTGGGACTGTATTGATTATATAGTGAAAATGCATTGATTCTTTGAAAATCTTCTTCTCTGCGCCTGGAGATTATTTAAACAAACTAAGTGCATGATTATGATAGGCAAGGATGCCTCTTCCAAAATTTTTAAATATATGGGCTCAGCTTTTGGGGTTCTTGAGGAGGGGGGGGGGGCTCTATTGATTATATGGTGAAAAAGCATTAATTCTATTAATTAATAATTAATAAATCCTGTCTGCTCCTTAGTGTTGAGCTGATAAATGAATTGCTTAGCTATGATGAAAATTGGAGCTTCGAACAGAATTTTTAAATCTTGTGGTCCTAGGGTCAGGGGTTCTGGCATAACGGGAAGGGGGGGGGGGGGGGCTTTTAATAATGTAGTGGAAAAGTGTTAATTCTTTGAAGTCTATAATTATGATGATGCGGGTAACTCTTCCAAATTTGTAAATTTCTTGACCCTTGGTCTTGGGTTCTGGTGTTAGGGTAAGGCTTTGTTGAATCTGTAATGAAAATGCATTGTACCTGTGAAATTCTTCTCTACTTCTGGGCATATCGGAAGCAAACTGAGTAATAGTTTAAATGATATAAGTAAGCTTATTTCTACCAGATTTTTGAACATCTGGACCATTTGTCTAAGCATTCTGGTTCTGGGCAGGGCTCTATTAATTTGTATTCTATAGTAAGAAGTTATTCACCTTTTCCATTCACCTTTGATAATTATTCACTGTAAATAATTCGAAAGGTTAATAGAATAAGATAATTATGCAAGAATGTTTATCGTATAATTCAAAAAGTACTTTCCTAGTTTAAATAATCAGGTAGACCTGTAAGTAATAGATAAATAAAAATGAGACAAAAATAACTTATCTTATTAAAAGTTCTTCAAAGACCATAAGAGAGGTCAATGCTAGAGCTCTTAATATGGGTTTAAAAATAGTACAGAAGCACTAATAGTTTGTTAATAGTCTGCATGGTGATAGTGTTAAGTGGGGGACAGATTAGAACTTAATTTATGAGTCGATACTGAATACTAGACTAATTATTTTGTTGATCCTGTTCTTCCTACTTCTCTTGCTTTAGGGCAACAATGCTTCATCCATCAGTGTATTTAATTTCTAAATTGTTGTATTATACTAAGGTGACCGATAAGGCCCTTGGGCCTCTTGTTTTCTTTTATGATTTTATATATATATATATATATATATATATATATATATATATATATATATATATATATATATATATATATATATATATATATATATATATATATATATGAACCCCTTTAATTTTTCCTTGTTGTATGCGGTGTACATGTATTACGTAACTGCCGTCGGAAGGATATCACACGGAAGAAGTAATAATTCAGTTGAGAATTGCTCACGAAGGCAACAATCAATCAACATGACTGAAACTTGGAATTTCCCCTCAACCTCGAAGTGCAATACGTATACAGAATATAGAGAACATACTGTTTACACAATGGAAATAGCAAACACATCCACTTGTAAAGGAATCCAAAATACTTACAAATTGAATTAAGATCAAAAATTTAATTTAATACTTTTTCTTGTAGAATCGATTATAGTGTGTTTTTACCGTTAATCCTCCCATCATAATCAGCAACATGTGGTTTGCTTTCTTTTCCACCTTTATTAATGTACAAAATGATTATTAGATAAAGATTGATTTAATGGAATATTTATACAAATATATAAATGTGTTGTACTTGGCTTGAAACATGAATTCAATATGTTTTCTCATCTTAATGAAAAAAGTGATCTATGTAAAACCACATAATTATATTAAGTAACAAGAGGCACAATGAAGTACTTTAACACTCGCCGAAATGATCTTTGCCATGCTGTCTTCAGAACATTCATGTGGGTTTTTTTAAAACAAAATCCCTGTTTATTTCTTCTTCTTTTTTTTAAAGTATTTCAAATTGTTGTTCTACCCTGGCTTCAAAGGGTTATGACCAAATCTGAATACACATAATGGGAAGTTTGAATATTAATATAACTAATGAGGCGTTGTTGTTCTGAAGATTGTAATATAATTGTTTAAAGATCTTTTCTTATATGATTATATAATTATATTAAGTAAAACTGATCCCATCCTACCCCAGTGCCCATAACTTAAATTAACTTGAGTCTATACGTTTTGATAATATCATCATGATTTAATGTCAACCTGCTTCTCTTATTCCTTTTTTTTAATTCTTAATATACACAATTACAATTTTGAGTTCCTATTTTAGCCCCACTATAACCCTATTACCATGATTTCAACATATGAATCTGCACTCTGTTATAAAGCTTTTAAATAAATTTACGTAAATTATGCTATAAATTCCATGTATTATATACGTGTATACATGTATGATACTTTTTTTAATTCCATGGAAACATTTAATCCAGATAAGTCCCGGAGCCATAGTTTTTAAATTAAATCTGAACTATCTAAATCTCCTCGCAAATGTTATGATACATTATGTAGCATTATATATTACATTATGAATTTTTATGTTATATAATATTCTCTAAGATTATTCCTTATATTCCTATGAAAATCTAAGATCTATTTATTTACTCCACCCCAGGGGCCATGATTAAAAGAAACTTGAATCTACACAATACTCCTTGCATATAAATGCAGAATAAGCTTATCATGATCCCAATGCTCTTTAGAAGAGGATTATTAATACTTTTCCTATTTTCCATGTATTTTTACCCTTATTTCAATACATATTTCATATTGAAATTTCATCCACTATCATGGGCCAACTATGTCCAGAGGCCTTGATTTGAACACATATATTTGAACTACTGAAGGTTTCTTGCATACAGATATGCCTAACATGGTTCCCTGTTCTTGACAAGATTTTCAACTATAATTCCCATGCAAAACTTTATTCCCATATTGTGACAAAATCCAACTCCGAGGGGCCATGTTTCGAAGAAATTGAAACCTGCACTACCCGAGGATGCTTTCATATTAATATCACTTATCATGACACTGCTGTTCTAGAAAAAAAATAATTCTAAAATAAATAGTTTATTTATTATCAAGTAAAAATATTTTATCCTTTTTTGTGGCCCAATTGCACTCCTACCCAAGGAGCCATGATTTCAAGAAACTTAAATTTGTAGTAAGGGAGGATGCTTGCATATTAATATAACTAATCATGGCCTCAATGATTTGCCGTTTGTTTTTCAAAAGAAGATGTTTAAACTTGTTTTCCTTTATACTCCCTTTCTAAATTTGATCCCATATTGTAGCCCCACCCCTGGCAAGATTTATACAAACATGAAATTAACCTATGTCAGGAATATATCACGTAATTGTCATATGCTTGGGTCACTTTGTTTTTGAGAGAAGTAATTTTGAATGACTTACCCTACTGTTTGCTTTTTATTTATTTTTTTTTTAATGGATAAGGAAGTTGACATTTATTTGAACAAACATTAATTTAAACCTTCAACCATGGATACTCTGTGTCAAGTTTGATTTCATTGAATTATTATTAGCTTAATGGTTCTTGAAAAGAAGTCAAAATCTAAAAAAAAAATAATAATAATAACGGACAGACGGACAAACTTCAATTTAAAAACTCTAAGCATTGGGATAAAAGAACATCAAGATGGAAGCAAAGGATTTATGATTTTATTACCTTTTTAAAACGATGTTTTTGCACATTTTCAGTATCGGTTCCATTGGCTTTCATATTTTGCAATTGTATCTCTTCCATCTGAAAGATAGTTTAAGTAGCATTTCTATTTGCGTGAAAAATCCTAATTCGGTAGTAGGTACTAGCTCTTAACAGAAAGTACAAAAGGAGGCAAATGTATCAATAAATGGTGACAATAACATACCAAACTACAGACCATAAGCAAAGCACTCATCTCTCGTTAAAGTACATGTAACTAATCTAACAGGCAAATGTAAAATTAGATAACTCGACATAAGCAGGACGAATAAAATTATCCTGGGTGTTGAGAAATCAGAGATGAAATTTGACGTCTAAGAATGCTTGCCAAAGTAAAAAAAAAAAGATGTATGCAAAATGATGCATATGACCTCGTTTATGCAGCGTGAAATATATGGAGATAACGAACAGTATTCAAGCTCAAAAGTCCATTAAACAATACAATATAGGAGCAGAGCAAACACGGACCTCCAAAACATCAGAGGTGGGATCATGTGCCATGGAGGAGTGAGCATCCCCTGCCGACCGGTCACACCCGCAGTGTGCTCCTTGTCATGATCGGGAAATAACGGAAAAAAAACATCGACAGTTCAGTGTGTAAATACATGTAATGGCCTAACAATTAATATGAAAAACATCAGTCAGCATTTGACTCAATGATAAATTGTATTTGCTGACAGGTCATTTTATTGACCATAGAACATACGAAATGATGACTTTAAACGAGACTGTTGATATTCTTGTTTCATCAACTTGTTTGTCAATAATTTACCTCGTTTTAGAAATTGTACATAGAGCATGCTCTTCCGTATCGAATCAACTGAGAGATATAAACCCCGTATGCAGATGATGAAAGTATATTGCTGCATAAGTAAGGGAAGTTGACGATTGAAAAGTTAAAGTCATCACGTTTATCATAAAGCTTGGTTGTTAGATTACCATTAACGTCTTTTTCTAGTAGAATATCCAAATATGAAACAGATGTGTCAGACACTTTGGTATCTTTTATCTCAAGCTTACCAGGATATATCGTATGGACATAAGAATGGAAATAGCCATTGTTAGTTGACAATACGTCGTCGATATATCTAAATGTCGAGTTGAAGGCCACAGCAAGTGTTTTCTTCTTTTCACGTATAAGATTTTGGACAAATTCTGCTCAATATGAATACAAAAAAGGTCTGCTATTAACGGGGCACAATTGGTACCCATGAGAATTCCAATAGATTGTTGGAAGACCTGGTCTCCAAAAACTACATAGATATTGTCAATCATATTGTCAATCAGAAACTCAAGCATCTTTTTGATGTCAACTTACTTACTCACTTATAATGCTTACTTTTATTTTAGAAATTCAAAGAAAATTAAATGGGACTTGAAAAAATACTTCTAATGTCATTTATTTTCTCCCTTTCAAAAGCGTTTCTTTATTTTATTCATTTGATAATTTAATATTTGGGGATTAAACATCACGGTGCTTTCATAGTTTTTCCATGTTTAAGAACCCTCTATACACTGATCAAAAATGTTTTGGGGACTTTGAGAAAATTATTTAGCATAAAGGAGGATATTTTGAAATTAACTAACTCCTTTTTAATATAGGGAGCGTGCTTTTTTTATTTTAAATCTTCAAAGACAATGAAGTAATAGAAAAGAAAAATTGCCTTCACTTACTCAAATGGATAAAATACATGCAAATAAAGTTTACAAATACTCTATCTTGGTCTAATATAATGTTTAGAATACTTGGATTTATTTCAAATTATGTGATTTAGTTCAGATAACAATTTATTCTACTTGTATGTCAAATGGTAGGTCAGTCTAATTACACAAAAGTACCCTGAAAATAGGGTGCAGTGTAGAGAGGGTCATTATTCTTTTATTTAAAAAAATCAGATTCTCTCCTGTGTTTTCTGTGTTATGCTGAAGACTCTATAAAACATAAAATTGTCACAAAAATAGATTTGATCTTTTATAGGAATATTTTTTGAAAACTGAGAAATAACAATCAAAATAAAGAAAGAATTATACTGCATTGCAGAATCACAGAAGGTGCATAAGTTGTATCATACCCAATTTTTAACTATCTTTTAACTATGTTAGCTGATTACATTATTTTCCCTCGGATTGAAAAGTCGCATTTTCGTTGATTTAAATAGATTTTATATCAGTCAAAGGTCATAATACCCTTTTTTGTTGAAATCAATTTTAAATGCGTGTCGTGTTTTTGCATTAAAAATTACAAAAAAAAAAAAAAAGAGAGCAAAATTCTACCCTCTTTTGAGTTTCCGAGTTTTGGCAGCAAATATTTATCTTTTCTGGCTTGTCAATTCATTTGAGTGCCCACCCATGACTCAAGGTTCACCAGTGGGGGGGGGGGGGGGGAGGTGGGGGAGGGGCTCAATAAAGTTGACAAGCCGGAAACTGCTGAAACTTCCTCTACGTTTTTGACAATTTTAATGCAATAACAATGCACACTTTCCGCCCTATTGCAACAAAAAGTTGGAGAGGGGGCAAATGTCCTTGAAGCAATACATAGTGACCTGTAGTAGATCAAAATTAATAGATATATATCTACAAATAATTTAATTTTGTTTGTATTCTAGCCTCTGATTGGTTAATATCCAAAAAGGAACACAAATTATTTCTGTATAACCTGGTTTGGTATGGGGACACACCCCCCTGACAACCAGCTGAATCGTCTGTATCCATGCAATCCTCTCATTTCCAGTCCTCGGGATTCATGGAAAATTCCAGATTTAATAAATGTACCTTTAGCTTCAAACAGTAACTCGGATCTTACCACATGCAAACAAAAAACATGGCTGCTAGGACTATGTATCAGTTTTTACCTCCCCTTGCTTCCCATCACTTCCGTTACTAGGGTTGTATTATTGAGCGGCAAATTTGAACTAATAAAAAGCAACGATATTTTACACCCACAGTTGTTTAATGATTTTAGAATTAAATTATAAGGAATGACTCTAATTCTTGGCCAAATTATTCGAGGATAACCTGGTTTGGGTCAGTTTACGCTGTTTTATAATCCGCTTCGCGGATTATAAAGCGTAAACTGACCCAAACCAGGTTATCCTCGAATAATTTGGCCAAGAATTAGAGTCATTCCTAAAATAATTAATTTTTATGAAAGATAATCAATTCTTAAATCATTGTCTTGCTTGGATCATTAAATTCTTTTTTTAAATCTAAAAAAAGAATATTTAAATGCAGGAGAATCAGAACACAACCCAACTTACGCATTTTTCTTGATAATTAATAAGTTTTTTTTTTTTAAATCAATCAGGCAGAAGACTCATTTTATTTCATGAATTTTTAAACAAAAAGCCTTAAATAGTCATGTAATTGGTAGTAAAACAAATATTTAACTATTTCAAAGTTCTGCTTATTAAGGTATATACAGACAGTAAGATAAACTATACCTTACCTCATTAGAGGCCCTCTTATTCACTTCATAATTACTGTTGTTTTTGACGAGTCAGGGAATAAACCTAGTCGTTGTCTTCTTTTTATTTTAATTTCATTTGTGTATATCGAAAATGTCCATTAGAATTTTTTCGCTATTATTTTATTATAAATTGACATATGGGCTTCTTGTTCCACGCATTTAAAAAAGTGAGTCTTTATCAAGAGCAAAGAGAGTAAGTGTATTGTCTTGGGAAGTTGACAATACTTGAGTTAAAATGCTCTCACAGAAGCCTTTACATGTAAACATGCCATAACAAAACACTAGAGTTCACTATAGTTTACTGAAGTAAACTAATTACAAATTAAAGTAAATTAAAAAAAAATAATACAAAAGTATATGTAAATAGTCATTTTGCTACATGTATGAAATTCAAATTCAATTTTCATGTTTCAATGCTTCATATTTTAACCATTCCAGTCAACTAAAGTGACCCTGCCTTTACTGGATTCCTTAACTTCATAAAATCCTTACAAACAGAGATGCATTGTTGGGTCCAGCAAATGCTTTACCACTGGGACATGTGTAGTCTTACGTGTTTCACACCAATTGTTAAACCTTTGTTTTTATACTAAATTGACTACGGAATGTTCCGTCTACCTAATTAACACATAGGGCACGCGGCGAGTGTGACCCGTCAATAGGGAATGCTTACTCCTCCTAGGCATCTTATCCCACCTCTGGAATTTCCAGGGGTCCGTGTTTTGTGCCCTAATCATAGATTTACTTTGTTTATACATTTTTTTATTGATCACCGTTCGTTATCTTCACCTTTTTATTTAATAAATCTCAATTCTAAGAAAAGATTTATGATACTAGAAGGTAACATTCCTTGTAAGTTGCATGTTAAAATATCATTTCCAAAATATCATCCTTGAAATGCAATTTGCGAGTTATTGATGTTCTAAATTTTTTGCAACACTTTTTTTTCTGACTCGTATAGACATTAAGGGCCAACCAACAACTTTGTAACAAACGGGACTTTAATCCAACTTTCTTTCTTTAATGCATTCATCAGTCATATACGAGGGGTGATCAAAAAGTTCGCGAACTAATTGAATAACTTCCTTAAAAGAAATAAAATGAGGTTTCAGTGTTCATTATTTTTTAAAGTAGTCCTCTCCGATTTTAATGCACATCTGCCATTGCTCTGCCCTTGCGCGAATCAGTGATCCAGGCGGTCACGTGACATGCTTCGTAGCTGTCTGTTCACAGAAGCTAAGAGATTTTTCCGAGTCTTATATTTCTTACCATGCAAGTAATTTTTTATAACAAGAACAGACCATCTGTCAGAAATGGCCAAATCTCGGCAATAGGATGGGTGGATAAGGATATCCCTTCCCAGAATTACCATGGTGACCATCACAATCCGAGTCCTCTGTCTCGAGAGCGTCGTTTATCCAATGTGGAAAAGTATGAGCGCCTTTTCTTTTTTTCATATCTCATATGTTTAAAGTCTAAAGTTAAGGATATTTTAGGGATTTAATAATTATATTATTGCTTAGATATTCAACTATTTTTTTTTACTGTAACTTGGCGATCTTTCAAAACAAATTGT